GCCGCGTGCCGGAGGCCACAGTCCCAGCACTCTGGGAGCCGAAGGCAGGAAGAGCCAAAGTTTAAACCCAGCATGGAGAATTCAACAACCTAGGGAAGCTTTGTCTCAACATAGAAAATAAATAACACTGGAGCTGTAACTCAGAGTGTACGACTTGGATCCAACCCCCAGTATAAATAAATTTAAAAAATAAATAAGATACAACTACTTGTGTTTCCTAAATGTTATAAGCATGCACCGGTCATTTGTCTCAGACATTTCTAGTATTGACTCAAGAAAAATGAAAGCGTAGGCAGGTCGTTAGACCCTAGTAGGTCTGAGGCACAGAGTGGGGGTGCGGGTCCACTTTGGGCCACTTATAGCTAAATGAAGAAACAAAGACCTCAGAGCACAATACACTTACATCCATTCATCATTAGGCCTCGAATCAAATTTCCAGAACACGGCACACAGTATTGCTGGTTACCATAGCCTCCGGCCCTGTGATACCTGAGAAAAAAAACATTCTTTAAAGACGGTCTCAGGGGCCGGGGAGATGGCTCAGTGGAGTAAAGGCTTCCCTGGCAAGCGCAGGGGCCTGAGTTCAATCCCCGGTTCCGCCAAGAAATAAAGAAATAAAGAAAGAAAGAAAGACCGTCTCATCTTCATTCCAATTAATCTTTCGGAAATTTCTTACATGATTAAGGTCCCTGAGAGAACCTGACCACCTAAAAGAGACAGGGGGGAAAAAAACTCAATTTAAAGGTCTGGGGAGATAGCTTAGTAAAATAAGCGCTTGCCTGGCAAGTGCAGGGTCCTGAGTTCAATCCCCAGTTCCGCAAAAAATAAAAAGTAAAATAAAATAAAAGAGACAGGAAGATATTTTGCAGCTCCTAAGTACTAACTTCTAAGAAAAACGTCAGCCAACATTTTGGCCCTAGCCTTCCAAGGTCAATTAAGGCTCAGGACATATGAGAACTTGTACTGTAACGTCATGTAACTCAGTAGTGTCCCAAATTTTCTGATCAAGGAGATTATGGGGCCAAAGAGGAAAGTGATCGGTGATGTAGAGTGTGCCTAAGGAG